TATAAAGCGGTAGTTAGAAATTATTCAAACTTTTCTGGACCTTATTTCCTAATTATCATCCCAAACTACAGCATAGAATAACAAAATATCCAGCCCAAATGCCTAATCAGCAATACTCTTAATTTATTCATTCACTAACTCGCCTAAAAGGAAAAATAACAAGATCCCATTAAGGACCTTTTGACTGTTCATAAAGTCCACCATCTTTAGATTAAAATCTCAAAATGGAAGCTAAACCAATACTTACTCCTTCCACAATCTCCCAGGGTCAGAATATGAATATAATGTTGATATGCAAGGATAGCATGTCAAAACTTACTAAAGCGCCTTTATCTAAAATTATTTGCTGCTCCATTATTTTGACGATTTCTTCGGAGATTTCTACTAATATTACACAAATAAATCTATTATTCTCATTTGTCTGCATGATAAACGTGAGATAATGTGCATCAAACCTACTTTATCATTCACAAATAGAGTCATCTTTAGGTGTGCTGTGAGCTGCTGTTGTCCTAACCGCTGATCTCACCTTCATTTACCCGTTACTTGCACATACTTTGATGGCATGTTTAAGGTTAGCTTTAAGTAACTCATTTGGATTGGATTCGATTTCATTTAAATTAGCAAGAATCTTTTCTAAATGTGCCCCACCCATGACGATTCCCGCATACGTTGGTCCTTCTTCAAATCTATCACATTATTACGGAATAAATAGTCAGAAATTCATCATAAATCACTTTATGTATATGGTCAATAACCCGGTCAAAGATAAAAAGTATACTCGAAAAAAGTTTGGTATCAAGGAATCTCTAGGTTCACAGTTGTTAAGCTTACTTCTCTTTCGAATGAAAGTGTTTTATCGAAAGATTCGAAGATCGATCCCATCAGAAGACAACGGCGGATTACTCTTGCTCAGCTATCGATTGCCTTACTGGAACATTATTGTTGACGCAGTTTCCGAGGAAATCTTCTTCGATTTCGGTTAAGACGTGATATGTTTTCGTTCGCCGTATGGCGGACATCATCAGAGCAGGGTATAATCCTTAGTCATAATCAAGCTAACAAGCCAAGAAAATTCACCGGCTCATACCTAAATGCTATATATATATATATATATATGTGTGTGTC